CCAGTCCTTGCAATATCGTCTCCTCTGTTCTCTCCTCAGATTCCCTCTTCCAATTTTTCAGGTCCTTGGTGGTTATTTGGGCCCAATGGGAAATCCAGGGTGACCTCCCTATTTTAAAGTCAGCTGATCGAGGGTCATAATTTTACCTGCCAACTTAACTCTTTGCAGTGTAACCTAACATATACACAGGTTCTGGAATTAAGAAGCCACATCTTTGGGAGCCATACACACCATACAATTCATTATTTAAAGCCCACAACTCAATGGTTTTGAATTGATTCACAGAGTTTATTCACAGAGTTGTAAAACCGTCACCACAATTTTATTTTTTTTTAAAGATCTTATTTATTTATTTGAGAGAGACCATGAGAAAGACAGACAGAGAGAGAGAGAGAGAGGATGAGCAGAGTGGAAAGGAGAGGGGGAGGGAGAAGCAGACTCCCTGATGAGCAGGGAGCCTGATGCAGAGCGGGATCCCAGGACCCCAGGATTATGACCTGAGCCAAAGGCAGACACTTGCATGACTGAGCCCCCCTGGGTGCACCATCACAATAAATTTTAGAACATTTTCATCACCCCCCAAATAAATACTGTCCCTTTCCTCCCAACACCACACAAGGCCTCTCCCTTCCCTCACCGAGGCAACTACGAGTCTACTTTCTGCAACTCTAGATTTACTGTTCTGAACACTTCATATAAACGGGATCATATACTATGCCGTCCTTTGTGACTGGTTTCTTTCACTTAGCATAATACTGTAGCATATATAAATATTTCTTCCTTTTTATTGCCAATTAATATTCCATTATCTACCTATACCACATTTAACTTAGGCATTTACATGGGTTGTTTACACTTTTTGACTATTATAAATAATTCTTGTATAAAATTCGTGAGCAAGTTTTTGTGCGAACATGTGTTTTCATTCCTCTTAGGTATAACACATAGGACTGGAATTGCTGCGTCCCATGGTAACTGCACGTTTAACATTTTGAAGAACCACCAGATTGTTTTCCAAAACAGCTGCACCATTTTATGTTCCCACCAGCAATGTATGAGGTTTCCAATTTTGCCCAATCCTCACTATCACTTGCTATTAAATTAGAGCTATCTTAGTAAGTACAAAGGGGTATCTCCTGATTTTTATTTGCATGTCCCTAATGGCTGATGATGTAGATCACCTTTTCATGTGCTTTTAAGCCATTTATGTATCTTCTTTTGAGACATGTGTATTCAGATACTTTTCCCATTTTAAAAATTGAGTTATTTTGTTGTTGAATCGTAGAAGTTCTTACAGATTCTAGGTCCAACTGCTTTATCAGATAAGTGATTTGCAAGTATTTCCCCCCAGTCTATGGATTGTCTTTTTGCTTTCTTGGTGGTATCATTTACAGTAAAATGTTTTTAGTTTTGATAAAGTTAAATTTATCTATTTTTTTCTCTTGTTATTTGTGTTTTGGTATTTAGTTAAAGAGACTAAACTCAAGGTGATGAAGATTTGTTCTCATAATTTGTTCTCGTAATCTAGGAGTTTTATAGTTTATGATCTTATTCTTAGGGCTATGATCCGTTTTGAGTCAATTTTTGTATGGTGTGAGGTAAGGGTCCAACGTCATCGCTTTGGGTGTGCACACCCAGTTGTTCTGGCACCATGTGTTGAAAAGACAGTTTTCCCCATTGGCATCTTTGTTGAACACCAATTTACTGTAAATGAAAGGGTTTATTCCTATGTCTATCAGGTACCACACTGTCTTGATAAATGCAACTTTCTAGTAATTTTGCTTGCTTGTTTGTTTAAAGTAGGCTCCATGCCCAGAACTCACAACTCTGAGAGCAAGGCTCAGATGCTTAACTGGTTGAGCCACCCTCGTGCCCCTTTAGTAAGTCTTGAAATCAAGAATTGTGATTCTTCTGAATTTGTTCTTCTTTTTCAAGATTGTTTTGGCTATCTGAGGCACCTTGCCTTTTTTTTTTTTTTTTTTTTTTTTTTTAGAATCAGCTTGTCATTTTCTGGAAGAAAAAAAAAAAGTCCTAGGCAGAATTCTGATAGGAATTGTATTAAATTAGTATTTCAGTTTGGGAGAATTGCTATCTTAACAAGATTAAGTCTACCTTAACAAGACCCATAAACATGGAATGTCTTTCCATTTTTGCAGGTCTTTTTAAATGTCTTTCAACAATATCCTGTAGTTTTTAGACTACCAGCTTTACCTGCTTTTGTTAAAGTGATTCCTAAGGATTTTATTCTTTTTGCTGCTATTGTAAATAGAATTATTTTCTTAGTGTTATTTTTGGATTGTTCATTGCTAGTAGATAGAAATAAAATGAGTTCTTTAAAAGATTTATTTACTTTTATTAAGATTTTATTTACTTATTTTAGAGAGAGATAGAGCACGCAAGCTGGGGCAGAGGGAGAGACAGAGAGAAAATCTCAAGCAGACTCTCATGACCCTGAGACCATGACATGAAATCAAGAGCTGGATGCTTAACTGATTGAGTCACTCAGGCACCCCAAAAATACAATGAATTTTTTTTAACTTGATCTTGGATCCTGTGACTTTGATGGATTTATTAATTCTAATAGTTTTTTTTAATATGAATTCTTTGGAATTTACTATATACAAGATCATGTCATTTTAAGTAGAGATAGTTTGACTTCTTCTTTTCCAGTCTCATTGTCTTTTATTTCTTTTTCTTGCCTAATTTCCATGGCTAGGACCTCCAATATAATCTTAAATAGAAGTGGTGAGAGAAGGCATCCTTGTTTTGTTCCTGATCTCAGGGGGAAAATACATTTGGTTGTGTTAGTGTGTTAGGTATCATTTTTTTCCCCCATAGGTGGCCTTTAGCAGAATTTGAGGAAATTGTTTTCTAGTCTGCGTTTGCTGAATGTTTTTATCATGAAAGGGTGTTGTATTGTATTTAATGTTTTTCTGCATCTACTGAGATGATCATGTGGTTTTGTCTTTTATTCTATTGATATGTATTATATTGTTTTCACGTATTAAATCAACCTTGTATTTCTAGGACAATCCCACTTGATCACAGTGTATAATCCTTTTTGCATGTAGCTTAATTTGTTTTTTTAAAGGTTATTTACTTATTTTTTAAGTAATCTCTATGCCCAATGTGGAGCTTGAACTCACACCTCTGAGATCAAGAGTTCCACATTCTACAAATGAGCCAGCCAGGGTTCTCTCAATTTGCCCTGCTACTATTTTGTTGCGGACTTCTATATCTGTGTTCATAAAAGATATTGGTCTATAATTTTCTTTCCTTGTGATACTTTAACAATCCCTTTTTACAAAGCCACATCACAGTGTTGACTGCAATTCTATCGTCAGAAATTCCCTCTTGTGCCAGCCGAGGTGTTGGAAGAATGGACTGGTCTCCGTGTTGACACAATCACACTACAGTCTTGAACTTAACCCTCTCTGGACCTCAATCTCCTGCTGTGTAGTTACAAGGTCGTAAACTCTTTCAGAGTCATAGTCTCATGACTGGAATGTACTCCCAGTCCAGTGCTCTTCCCCTGGGAGCACATCTGAAAAGGTCTTCACTCTTTCCTCCTCTGATAAATAAGATAGGTCAGTGCCTTAAAAACAAAGCATTTACAAACATGTATATGAATCACCAGGGAATCTCATTAAAACGCAGATGCCGATTCTGTAGGTCTCAGGAGGGTCTTCTTACAAGCTCTCTGAAGACGCTGATCTATGGACTCCACTTTGAGTAGTAAGAAACCAGAATATCGTTTCCCAAACTTCAGTCACATAAGTACCAATTTCATATTTTTTTGCCATATCCTTCTTCCATCTATACAATTAAAATTTTTCTTTTAATTGACTAGCAATTAAATAGCTTCTCTGGACAAAATTTAGACTCATTCTAGGTAATAATACACATCAAATCACAGATTTTATGGACTAGTTATATTTTTTTCTAACACCCATTGAACATACCTATTCAACTAAAAAAAAAGTCCATCTGTATATATCCAGAAATTATCTTATGTACCACTGATCCACACAGCCCCACGAGAGGGACCACATTAGAAATTCCAAGGGACTGAGAATGTGGTTCTTGCCCTTTAAACATCATCACACTTTAATTGGACACTTTTGACTTGCGTTTCATGATTTTGCCCCATTTTTCTCTGCTGCAATTTGGCCAGTGATTCCTGTCTTTCCCTCTATTATCCACTCTGATTAACTCGGCTGCACCTGCCAGCCTTTATTCCTGCAAGTGCGTGGAGCGAGGCGTTCTGAAGATGTTGTTAAAAGGCATGAGTTTGATCATATTCACTCTTTCCTGTCCTGAGCATAGGGGGCTGAGTCCTCGGGCCCCACATCTGGGCGGCGTTTCTCAGGCCTGGGTTTCACGGTCCTGGGTGAAGACACCTATGGGAACCAGCCAGACCAACCTGCAGGCTTCTCCTGGTGGACATTTTTGGGGGCATGGTTTGGCTGGGTCTCTGAGAGCCTGTGAGTTTCCCCTGAAGTGTCTGCAGGAAGTAGGGACCAGGATGTGTGGGACATTTGCCTGGGTTCTCCGGGAGCGGCGTTTATGAGCTAGACCAAAGCTGGCTTAGGGAATTTTGATTCCTCCTACTTCTGCTTCTGTTTTCTTTCCATACTTGTAGGACAAATCACTTAGCCTCATTGAGCCCCCTTGTCTTCATCTGTAGAATGGGGATAATGACTTCCACATGACATTGGGAGGTGCGGTAGTTGAAAATTCCGGTTTTGATGGCTAGTAGGCTGGTTCTCTCATTTGTGATGTGTGTGATGTCTGTTTCCACCTCTGTGAAATGGCGATAACAATGTGCCCTCACAGGGACAACAGGAGGACGAAGTGGTGTTCAGCCAGAGGCTGGCATAGAGTGACACTCTCAACAGACAGCAGCAATGACTACAATCATCACTGTCATCATCATCATTATTGTATAACATTTTTTAGTAAATCTCGAGTATTCTGATACTTAATATTAGGTTCATCTTTCTTCCTCTCTTCTTCCCTTCTTTCCTGTGCTCTTGCCTTCCTTTCTTCTCTGCTTCTCACCGTTATAGATGCATCTGACTGCAGCTGCAAGGGGCAGTGGGAGCTGAAATTGGGAAAAATGGATTGTGGTCAGATACTGGAGGGACTCAAATGTCAGAAGGAGCTTGATCGGCAGTCTAAGGGCAATAGGGAGTCACTGAACGTTGTGGAGCAGAAACAGGGCATAGTGAAAGTGGGGGAGAGGAACCTGGCGGCACAGATTGGGAAAGAAGCTGGAGCCACAGAGATGAGACAGCCAGAGGGTCGGAAAGGAGGGGCTGCCTCACTGCCTAAAGCCTGTGGGAGACGCAGCCCTTTTCCCCACTCTCATCTTGCCTACAGAACCCAGGTGGAGTGCCTTACTTTGCTGTGTGACCTCAGACAGTGCCTAACCTCTCTGAACCAGCAGTAAGGATGATCCTAGGCCTTGATGACACCTCCAGGCCTCCGCCATCTTCCAGGCATTTCCCTGTGCAGAGATTAATTTGTTTACTCCCTTGCCTGGAGATGAACCGAAAGAACTAATCGTCCATCAGCCGCGGCTCCCCCAACCCTGCGCTGCCCCGCCCCAAATGTCCATTTCCTGGCAAAATATGTCCTTGCTGCCGCCAAGGCTGCTTGGAAAATGCTAATTTTATCCTCAAATTAAAATTTGTTCCCTTACCCTCGTTTTCATCAAAATGTAGCATCCAGAAACATTGCCACGGCGCGGAAGAGAAAGATCTGACATAATTTTTTAAATGCCTTCAATCACGCCGCCTTCTGAACACTGCGTCCTCTCACCCTGACCCCCTCCCCATTTCCCCACCCCCTGAGGCAGCATTTACATTTCTTAATAACCCCTCATTAATATTCATGAGAAGGGGCGGGTAATAATGGCTGAGCACACCGCACTAATTCAATTTCCACCGCCTCGGCGTGTTTACTTAATCACCAAGGGACCCGGGTTACTCAGTACAATTATTTATTCGGAATTAGATCTGGAGGCATCTGGACTGGAAACAGGGAACCAGGAGCAAAATGGAAATCGAATTCTCTTTGTCTTTCCCTCCCAGCCACCTCCTCCTGACTGTCTGCCAAGGCTCCAGGCGGCCAGCAGGGCTTGGAGGACAAGCCTGAGCGCAAGCCAGTCTGTTCCTAAAGGCCTTGGCTTGTGCCGGGTTGGGGAGGGGGGTGTTGTTGAATGCATTCCAGGTGCCCATCAGTGGTGGTCTAGGAGGTATTGCCAGGCCCAGTGGTCGGGGTTGGGGGGGCAGCGCGCAGGGCATTGTCCCAGCCTGGAGGGTGTCCATGGGTGGCTAGCCAGAAGTGGGGTCTTCCTGGGGGTGGGGGTGGGTCTTGGGGGTTGGCCCCCAGGACCTGGTAGAGGTGAAGGTCTGTGACACTAAACAATGTCTGCTCTCATCTTTCGCCCTCAGCTTAACCATTACCTCGGCTAGGATGCTTTTCCTAGCCCCCAAGACTAGGTCACATCCTATTACACCCGGGATGTAATTGTTCCAACAATGGTTTCCGGTTAGTTTTTCAGGGTGTTTCTCCTACTAGACTGCCGGCTCCATGGAGGCAGGTCCCCTGACTCTCCTGGTCATCCTTGTGCAAGGCCCAGCACAGAGGACATGCCTGACAAATAATTGACTTGTTGACTGATTCTTGGGCCTCTGTTCCTTATTTACAGAGTGCAGATAAGAATATCCACCTTGTGAGGCTGCTGGGAGGATTCAGTGACTTCGGTGTACAGAGATTCAGAGGGTTTCTGTGTAACGAGTGCAAAGTGTTGAGCCCCGTATGGGACACATGACAAATGCTCAGTTAGCATGCGATGCTGTTATTCATATTATTGTCATTTCCGATTGTGGTGGAGCACAGAAGGGTTAATTGTGCTCCGTGTTGCCGGGGGCTGATTCCTTCAGGCTGTGTTTTCCAGGCTTCTGGGATGACTGGTTTCCAGCTGGGGTTGGCCCATGGGAGGCCTTACTGGGAGACTGGAGGCTGGGAGGAATGGAGAAACCTTGGTATTTCTCCCTCTCGGCCTTGGGTGGCAAATCTGAAAGTGGCTTATCTCATCCATGCCGTAGCTCCTTCCTGGTTCCATATCCCAAGTGACCGTCTTCCTGGGCAGGCGACACCCCCTCTGCCTCTGTCTCTTAGGTCTCAGAGCGGGGGCAGTCTCCTGCTGTTACTAGACTTGGAGCCGCATCACTGTCCTCAGCTTCTCAGTTCTTCCACTGTCTTCCATCTCTTAAAGTTCTTATTTTGTAAATATTCCAGTATTTCCCGGATAGACACTGAGCAATACGCTTCCCTATTCGGCTGTCATCTCCTGGTACAAAGGGCTCCATCATGTACCCCCATGGCCTGGACACCGAGACGCTCCCAAAAGGTGAATGAATGAGTGAGTGAATGAAAACATACTGATGATGCGACCTTTCTAGCCAGGCTTTACTCTGGCTTGGTAAAAGAGAGGGTTTAAAGAGAAATAATTTCTCCCAGAGACCAACAAATGTTTGGACTGAAACAACATCAATAATAATGCTAATGAATTACTTTGTGAATGGAAAGGGCTTTATAAATACTTCGGAGCCAGTATATTTCTTTGCAAACTGTACAGTTCTGTACCCGCATAGGGCTTTCCTTACAGTTTCAGTCCAGCTCAGCATTTCTGCTACCGTGACTTGCGGGCTGGGGAGGCTGGGAGGAGGGAACATAATGGATTGGAGGCAACATTTCAGCCAAAGAACAAAAGGTAGGGAGGCACACAGGCCACACTGGATGATTTCATTGGTATAGATTCATTCAGGGAAGTCTCTTCCCTTCTTTGCTGCCTCCAAAGCACCTGGACCCCTAGGTGCCCAACCAAAGCCCTTCATTAGAATTTCTCAGAACTAGGGGTGGGTTGGAAAAAGGTCAAGATCTACCAGTCTGCCTGCCTGGTGAGGGGAGCGGGGGCATTTCTTTAGAAGTCACCTGGAAATAGCAGGGCGGATGACATTTGGGATTCAGATGGGAGAAGGAGTGAAAGGGGATTTCAGAGATATTAGGGAGTGACCCAGCCTGTCTTAGATTGGGTTCCCCTAAAGCAGAGCCCCAGACAAGGACGTAGGTACAAGTCATTTATTTGGGAGGTAATCCCGGGAAGCAGGAACGAGGGAGGCAGGGAAGTAGCCGGTTGCTGCTATGGACAACTGAGGTTCCATCCAGCGATCCCTTTGCTTACCATGTAAACTCATTCAACCAGAGGATGGACGGCTGGGGCACTTATCCACCAACCCCCATTCCCCCGGGGGTTGAGCTTTGCCCCAGGGGGCATTCATTCCCTCACATCTCTGCGCTATGCCTGTGGGTAGGCTGAGCAAGAGATGGGGGGGCCTCCAAAAAAGCCTTGAGGTAGACAAATTAAGAGGCTGGCCAGGCACTTGAGGGAGGACACTGTCAGTGCGCATGGGCTCTGTGCACCACAGCTACGGCCAAGAAGAGGGAGATGGGATGTGGCACAGGGCACCCACAGCATCTCCCACCCTCCGCTGTCCCTGATGTTCTCCAGCCTAGGTGCCCAAACTCCATGGCCCTTCCTTTTTCTTCCTCCCTTCCTTCCTTAGGGAGAGAAAAGCTCAAATGAAGAGCCTGCCTGGCTCCTTCCAGACGGAAGATGCTGGGAGATCCTTTAAGCCAGATTCCCTTATTCTAAGATTCTAGGAGTTGTCTGCAGTTTTGTGACAGTGGCCCTAGAATGCAGACTCTGCCCTTCCAAGGTTCTAGAACTTTCAAGATTCCACAAAATGGGGAGGAGGTTTCTGCTTTCGGACTTGTGTGGTCTCTGCCACCAGGCCTCGGGACCCCAGATAGGCCGCTGGGAGCAGACACCAGCTTAGAGGAAAGCCCCACGTGCCCCTGTCTTCAGGCCTGCTAGGACAGGTGAGGCCTCATTCATAATGGATCCCGTTGCTTGGCAAGCAGGGGGCTGCAGATGAGCAGGGGTGGAGAGGGCACCCTGGAGAGACACTTCTGTTCCCTCTGAGGAAGGAGCTGCCTCTGCCAGCCTGCAGGCCCCAACACCTGGCAACCCCCACACCCGAACCAGCCTCCCTCACCACACACCCCCCTCCCCTGCCCAGTTTCCTCTTCTCCTTCTCCTGAGCAAGGAGCCAATTTTCGCTCAGTGATCCTTTACCAACTGCCTAGGAAGTGCCAAGTGCTAGGTTAAGCATTTGAAACCTCTAACACGGATCGGGACCTCCATAAGCAAGATTATGGGGCGTGAGATATTTATTAGGGACCCACACGTGTGAAAGGGAAGGGAGGAAGCAGGATGGGACCAGTGAAATCAACCGATCGGAGCTCCACAAAGCCTCCGAGCACTGCCTGGCAGGATCGTTCTGCATCTGCCCAAACGGCCAAACCTTCAAACCCCTCGGCTTAGTCACCATGTGCGAGCTGCCAGGGGAAGGGTGCAACCTCGGGCCACAGGCTCTCTCTGTAGCAGAGGCGGACCTGGAAGAGCCAGGGGAGGCAGGCTGTCTGCCAGCCGCAGTCCCCACGCCGGGCAGCAAGCCCTTCACTGAAGGGGTGTCTGGACAGCGGCTCATTTTGTCCACCACAACAGAGGTGATCCCACGGGGCACAACCCATCCGGGCAGGAATTAACAAACTTGTTTTACAGATGACTTCACAGAGGTTGAATCCAGAGGGAGCAGCTTGCCCACAGTAGCTTTCAAAAAGGAAGTGAGAGTTGGAAGCCAGGTCCGTCCATGGTCCAAATCTTATGGTCTCCTCGCCACAGGATAGCTGTCCTTTGCTCGTGGGATGCATTTTTACCCATTTCCTGTAGGTGCAAGTGGTAGCTCAATGGGGAGCACCAAGGATATCTTCCCCGACCTTCACCCCCACAAAGTGTCCTCAGCCTCCTTTTCCGCTCATCTTTTCCCTTTCCCCTCTTCCACCTCTAGCACCCACCTCCTCTCCTACTCTCAGTCCACCTGGTCTGTGTGGGTCTCCACCTCCTGCTCCAGGACGAAGCCTGAGACCAGGCTTGGCCAATCAGTGCATCACGTTCCCTTAGCTGGGTAATTGGTCCATAATTATCCCATGGCCGGAGGAGGACCCAATCAGAGTGAGCCCCAGGACTGTTGCAGTAACTGCCAAAAAAATCTTGCCCCTTCTAGCTGCACTTGAACCTGCAACAGTGTAGAACTGTTGCTGTTAGTTTTATTCATCCCTGTGTCACAAGCCACCCCCAAACTTAGTGCTTAAAGCAACAAGGACTTATTATTTCTTATGATTCTGTAGGTTGACAGTCGTTCCATACCTGTTGGCTGGGGTCACTCATGTGGCTGCATTCGGCTATGGCTGGACTGGGGGGCGGGGGATAGGGGTTAGGGAGGTAGGAGTGGGTATCCAAATGCGGGTAATAAAAAGGAGCATTTTTTGCTGAATTTAAAATGATGACACTGACTATGAGTCAATCTGCTTTTTATCATCACTGTGTGCTGCTGATCCTAAACTATGTTAGTGCTAAATACCCCACCCCCCCCCTAAAACCACCCCCATTCCCCGCCCCCCTGCCCCCCCCCTACCCCCCCCCCCCCCCCCCGCCAGTACAAAGGCCTCTCTCAGAGCCTGGAATCTTTGCTATGATTGTTAGCTGGGGCACCTCAGTTCTCCTCTGTGTAGCCTTTATTCCCATGTGCCATTGTCATCTTCTCCAAACTCTTCATGAGGTCTTTCTCTTCTGCATGAGGTCTTTCTTTTCTGCAAGTTAGCCTGGACTTCCTCACAGCATGGTAGCAGGAGCCCGAGAAGGAGCATGCCAGCTATATAAGAGCTCATAAAGCCTCTCCTTCATCACGTATGCTCATCTTTCATTGGCCAAAGCAAGTCACATGGTCAAACCCTGCATTACATGTAGAAGGGGACTTCCAAGGGCATGACTTCTGGGAAGCATGGTTCATTATGAGCCACCAATGCAGCAGTCTACCCCATGGGGGTTGTCTACAATCTGGAAAAGGAGGGTCAAACAGAGCCATGAGTTGCAGGGTGGATCAGGCAGGGTCCCTAAGGAGACAGAGGCAGTTACACTGTAATTTCAGGACACTATAGTAAAGGGGCTATTTGCAAAGGTGTCAGGAGTTTTTAGGGAATTCACAAAGGATGGTTCCTTTGGGCTAGTGGTAGAGGAGATCCTTTAACTCCCCTTGATCTGAAGGTCAAGAACAGGATGTGGTTCCTAGAATCCAGAGAGAGGAGCTGTGCTCTAAGGGAGAGCTACCTGATAGGAGCTGGGGCCTTAGGTAGAGGGAGATGGCAGGGAGGAACCTGGGAGGGAGAAATAGCCTACTTTCACCTTCCTCCCTCTAATTGCCTGCCATTGCTTCCCATTGGCCAAACCCTATGGAAGCCAGAGGGCAGGGGAACTTGCTGACACACTCCATGCAGGTCAGCCTCCAAGCCCCAGAGCGGAGAGGACCAGGGTGGAGGGCAGCTCTAAGGAAGATATAGGTCCAGTGCTAAGCACCCCTCTTGGGAAACCGGAAAATGAAGTGGCACAGGTCCGAGATGCTAGGTGGAAAGACAAGATCCTGAATATATCATCTGGGCTCCTGAATCCAGCAGAGGTGGAAGTAGCTCTATTCCTGGGCTTTTTACCTATGTAAGTTACTAAACGCTTTTTTCCCCCCACAGGCCAGTCTACGTTGGTTTCTGTCTCGTGCAACCTCAAGGTCTCTGACTGATATATTCCCACTGAGGAGCCGGCCCTTTAATGGAATTAGAGTGGAATTTACATTACACTCTGACAAGAGTCCTAAGAAGGCCAGAGAGCAATGAACATTGGAGGTGAGCAAACTGAGGCTGGGAGAGGTTGAAGGATTGGGTCCAGGCCATCTGGCTCATTAGCTGTAGAGATGGGATCTAATCCCCACCCCCATGTCAATGTTCCAGCCACATTTAGCCACTCTGTTTCCTGAATATGCCATACTTTCTTGCCTCTGGATCCTTACTGGGTTGAATAGTGTCCTCCTCCCTAAAAAAGCCAAGTCTTAACCCTAAGAACCTGCACATGTGTGCTTATTTGGAAATGGGATTGAAAATGGAATCAATAGAGGATCTTGAGAGCATCCTGGATTTAGGGTGGGCTCTAAATTACAATGACAGGCGCCCTTAGAAAGGAGAAGGATATTTGTGTCAGAGATACAGAGGGGTGAAGACGGAGAGCAGTGGTAGATACTGGGATGCTGCATCTATAAGACAAAGAATGCCAAGGCTTGCCTACCACCACGAAAAGCTAGGGAAGACACATAACACAGATTCTTTCTCAGAGCTCCAGAAATTACCAGCCTTGCTGATGTCTTGAATTTGGACTTCTGGCCTCCAGAACTGTGAGAGAAGAAATTTCTGTGATTTTGGATTACTGAGTTTGTAGTAATTTGTAATGGCAGCCCTAGGAAACTAATACAGGACCTTTGCACATGCCATTCCATTGGCCTGTATTATAATCCTCTTCTCTTTCCCAGGCCTGCACTCCACTCTGCCCTTTGGGGTTTACAGGCAAACAAACCTGCATGGAAGAAAGGGAACCTTTCAAAGAATCACTCACACTGCCCCTTCACATGTCTTTCCTTGCCCTAGAGATCTCAGTTCAAATGCCACCTCCTCCAGGAAGACGTCCCTGATGTTCCTACCCTTCTCTGTGATTCCACAGTCCCCCTGACTGCCTCTGCCACAGTTGTGCTGGCATTATCTGTTGACATGGCATGTTTTTCAGTCCCCCATTGGACTGGACACCTGCTCAAAGGCAGGGACTATACATGATTCCTCTTTGTGGCTGCAGCTGTGCCTAACACAGGTCCAGCCACAGCAGGGATGTTCACTAATGTTTGCTGCATGGATAAATGAGTGCATGCTCAGTTCCCCTCCAGTTCTGCTCTAACTGTGGACCCCTGCCCGTCGGGGAAGTAACCCTTTCTGGGAGCATGTGTGAAATAGCTCATGCTCACCAGTGGTGGGTGGGGGCAGGACACCCACCCTTGGATTCAGCCATAGCTTAGCTCAGCCCTCCTACCCGTGATGCCAAGGCCCTGTCAGAGGCATGACAAACAGCTTGGCTGATGGCTTATAATGTCAGCGATGATGGAAACAGGGAGGCGATGGCTGAAAGAATGGGTTGGGGACGCTTGTCATAACTTTATTTGTGGGAGGTGAGTTCCTGTCGGCCTGGTGATGGATGGTGCCCAGGCAGGCACAGTGCAGACCCTGCCACGGCATCTCCCCTTTCTCTCTAAGCCAAATGACTTTGGGGATGAAAAATGACTTTCTTAGGAGAATCAGGGAGGGGGGACCTTTAGGAGAAGGGGACCATGTGGTCAGACTTGGGAACGACTTTTGCTTTCCTGCCTAGTCCAGCCTGATAGTGTCCTTTCTCCCCCACTTTCTTCTGAGGAGTTATTGTTAATAATCCCAGATACCTTACCTGCCTTAATCTTCAAAACTGCCTAAAAAGGAATGTGTATCTTTGCAGATGAGGAAGCTGAGGCTTGAAAAGAGGAAGGGTCATACCCAAAGTTGCCTGGGAAGGAAGTGGCAG